CCCAACCCCAACCCCAACCCCAACCCCAAACCCAATGTGGATGCAATTTTTACAAAAAATACATCTTCACTTTTTCCTTTTGTTTTTTTTCAAAGATGGGGGTTACTATTTTATAAAATAATAAAAAAGTAAACACTATTACAGAAAATTGATCATTCACAGTAACACACCTTACCTCATTTACTACAACTAGAAATCCAAAAATCTATTACATTAAAACAATTAGCTTAAAATTTAAAGATAAACAAGAAAAATTTATGAATTAATCAAAGAACTCAATTTTTGTATAAATTAAAATAGTCATATAAAATAATTATATTCTATATTATTATAAAATCAAGTAATGCAGATATTGAAATGAATTCTCAATAGCATCATTTAAAACTTTTACAATCAATTCCAAATCTACACAAAGTCCTAACTTCTATTTTACAGAAATGCACAAGATACTTGTATCGATTTTGGCAGTATATAACTTAAACTTTGAGTAATAGAAATTCATTATTAAAAATAATGAATTGCACTTATCACATACAAAATCCAATCACTTCGATATGTATAGCTCCACATAAGTGCCAATGCTAAAGAAAACTATGTGGCGAATGTCTCTATGACCATGGAGTGGATATATAAACACAAACAACTCCAATCAATAAATTTCGGGATATGGCTCTAAAGAAAATTTAAGACTCCAAGCTTGATGATAACTCAGAATTAACTAAATAGAGAATGGCCTTTAAATCCTTAATCTCTCAAACCGATTAAAAGTTGAAGAAAATATGGGAGGAGTTGTCACAATCAATCTAATAAGTATACGATTGGATTGATAAGGAAAACCAATCTTACTTAAATCTCATCAAAGAAAATACGAATCTAGCTGAATCCTCCTACACTGATATAGAAAAATTAGTAAACATTGTAGAAGGAACAACTTTAATAGATTGGAATGCTTCGAAGAATTCTTATATGAAGGAGTTAGATAAGACCAAGTGCTGGTGGGACCAACATATAAAGGCTTTTATTGAGAAGTCTAACTAAGGAATCCAATAGATCCAATCA